GGCAAGGTCACCCGCAGGGCAGGATAAACAAATGGTTGCTGATTCTTCAGACAGTCTCCTAGGCAGCAAATCACCATTTTACTGCAATGCAGCCCTTTCAAAACAATGTACTTTTTGGAAATGGAGAAAAATGATAGGCTAAGAGATGTAATAAATGCCTACTACCGTTTTGTTATTAAGAGCTCCGGTCACGGGGAAAAGATCTTTAAAAAGTCATGCACCCAAAAAGGAAAAGAAAAAGAAAAAGAAAAAGAAAAAGACATTTCCATGTTGTTTAATTTGATAAACAAAAGCTCAGAAGCAGCCTTGAGAAATCCACAAATGAAGGCGGAGAGAGAGAAAGAAATTAGAAATGATCTTGTTTCGGACTTCAAATGCTTTGGAACAAAGAATAGAATAGAAAATAGAATAGAATAGAATAGAATAGAATGGAATGGAATGGAATGGAATGGAATGGAATGGAATGGAATAGAGCTGGAAGGGACCTTTGAGGTCTTCTAGTCCAGCCCCATGCTCAAACATCTCAGACAATGTAAATGTAAATCTTAATGTTTTAAATCTAACGGAGTAAGGGCATCGCATTCGGATTCTATTCCAGATGTCAGCTCTTCAAATTCGCTTTTAAAGTCCAACTATTTCATGCAAGATGAAAGCAGGAGATTCTGGTGGGGATAATTTCAGAAAAATATTCTCCAATCAGGACCCTGTGAATTGAAAAAAAAACTACCCCTGCCCCCAAACTGGGAATGAAATCAACTTCACAGGTAGTCCTTGACTTATGACAACTGGGACCAGAATTTCCATTGCTAAGCAAGGCAGTTAAATGAGTCGCACTGGAGTCTATGACCTTTTTTGCCACAGTTGTTAAGTGAATCATGTGGGCACTAAATGAATCCAGCTTCCCCCACTGACTTTGACAGAAGCTTGCTGGGAAGGTCACAAACGGTGATCACCTGATCCCAGGATGCTGCAACCATCGTAAATACATGCCAGTTGCCAAGCGCCTGAATTCTGATCACGTGTCCATGGGGATGCTGCGGCGGTCATAAGTGTGACGACCGGTCATAAGTGGCTTTTTCTGTGCCATTAAAACTTCAAACGGTCACTAAACAAATGGTTGTAAGTTGAGGACTACATGGATTTAATGAGATGTTTGATAGGGTTTTTCTATTGCTCCATCCAATTAATTGGAGACAGACGTTTTAATAACAAAACAATCATTAAGCATGAAGTTAAATATATAGTAAACTCACACCAACAAATGCTTATGAAATCCATGTTCAGACCCACGTTTTACACATTCACCCAGCTAGCGTGGGCCCATTAACAATTTTCAGGCTAACTTAGTGAGAAATTGAAGCAGAACCAAATAAAATCGTAACGTGAAACTCGTGTTACTTGCACAGATGGGCTTAACTCAGTTCCACAGTCATTTGTTTGGTCAATTCCTCACAATTCCACTTGTGAGGCTACAATTAAAGGAATCACTTTTGATGCCCACTTCTGTTGTGAACAAGACAAATTGCAGCTACGGGCCTGGCACAATTCATATGTTTTCAAGAATAAAGCGGTTTCCGACCAGCAGCGATTTGACCAACACAATAGAGCGAATTTTACAAGTTCCAAAATGTCACTTGAAGTCATAACCAGATGTTTCTCCTTCTCATAAAGCCCAAAGAGGCTCAAAACCTCTCTTCATTTTTGCAACTCAAGAATTGCCGGCTTTCATTTGGGGAACTATTTTCAGATAGGGAACCTACCTAGGGTTGAAACAAAGCTTGGAGGGGATTAACATTGCCCAGGTGACACTTACAGAAAGCCTCAATACGTCTACTGTACTTATGGACTTTATGCTTGAAAAAAGAAAAAAAAATTGAAAATTTGATCTTAAGATTTTGAGGATTATACTAAGTTTATTGTTGTAGAAGTGGTTTGTATCTATCAGAAATGCAAAGCAAAAAGTTGAGGCTTTAACTATATTTCAATCAGAATAGAGCTGGAAGGGACCTTGGAGGTCTTCTAGTCCAACCCCTTGCTCAAGCAAGAAAACCGACACCATTTCAGACAAATGACTGTCCAGTCACTCCTTAAAAGCCTGAAGGGTTGGAGCATCCACAACTTCTGAAAGAAAGCCGTTCCACTGGTTAATTGTTCTCACTGTTAGGAAGTTTCTCATTAATTCCAGGTTGTTTCTCTCCTTTGTGTATTTTGTATACTTTGTATTCTACTTTGTATATTTTAGTATACTTTGTATACTACTGTACCAAAAAGAGATGGAAGTCACTGGTTTTTTGTTTTTGTTTTACCTTACAAATTGGAGGGAAAAAGAGCAAGAAATGTATTTTCATTTGTATTTTATATTACAATAAACTTTAACTTTAAAAAAAAAAAAACCTCTCCTGCATGGGACTGTCCAGTTTTTAGTCTTTTAGAGTCCCCCTCCCTTATATATTTTTTTTTTACAAAAAAATGGCTGAACTGCATTTAATAGTCAGTTTTTTAAAATATTAAAAATAGGAAGTCCTTCATGGTATTTCCTTTAGGGAGGGAGGGGAGGACCGGGGAAAAGATGGCCCCCTAATACGGTTTTTTTTTTAATTTTTCCAGTGAAAAAGTTCTGGCCTGTTGCAAAAGCTCCACCGTGTGGTCAGACCCACACATTTAAAATCTCAGCTCAGCTTCCCAAGAAGACATTCCTTGAACCCCCATCTTCTCTCCAGTTTGTGGGAGATTAGACTGAGATTAGTCTAGTTTTAAAGGAGCAAAAGCAGAGAAACTTGTCCTTTTCCACCCAGCCATCTCCTTGCTCTAGTAGCGTCTTTTCCAAGCTCTGACACCAGTTGCTGTGAAAGACGGAAGGATTTTTTAAAATGAAGCAAGACCTAATTGCTCTCCTATTTTAAGAAACAAGAAAGGAGGATTTTCTTCCTGCCATGTGTAATCTCCCCTGAAGGAGGAGATTAAAGGAGATTTAAATCTCAAGCAAGTTCCTCTGCTCTCCAGTGGTAGTGTAATAAAGTTTTTTCCCTCCTCTCTTTTCCACTTCCTTTGATCTTCTTTTCATTCTATTTATTTAGTTAGTGGCTGGATTTTTATAACGGAGCTCATCACCTTCTTCCATCTTCCACACCTCCCTCCCAGCAACAAACCTGTGAGGTTTTTGTTGTTGTTAGTCACAAAGTTGTGTCTGACCCATCCTGACCCCATGGACAACGTTCCTCCAGGCCTTCCTGTCCTTGACCATCTTCTGGAGTCCCTTTAAAACCATAACATTTCTTCCTTACAAGCAGTTGTTCTTACCTGTTCCTTTTTTTTGTTTTTTACTATTACATGAAGGCAGCTCTTTCCTACAACTTGATGGTTTATAAATCCAAGCAGAGGAAGGTAACCCTATTTTTATTTGGTGCCTGCCATCAAATCCTTACAATTGCAGAAATACATCTTGAGTCATACAAGGTATGAAGCCATAAATCAGAGTTTTTAAGCCCCATTGACCAGATTCATCCCAAGATCAGCCCGAAATCAAAGTAGACACACGAGGGCTTAGTATCTCTTCCAAAATAAACATGGATTTATTTCAAAATATTCCTGTGAAAATTCTGCAGAATTAGAGTTTTGCGCACAATGGGGCACTACCTTCTGGTTTCATAAACAGCCATTAGGATTGATTCACCCTTAATTTCCCAAATGTCATATGATTAGGTTATTCATAAAACTACTCCAAAATCAAATTCCCAAATCAAATTGTCACAACTTTTAAAACAAATTGGGAACCCATTCACCATTTAATTTTTCTACACGTAAACCAATAGAGTTCAACAATTTTTTTTCATTTTTTGTTAAATGGGTATATTTTAAGAAATGTAATATATTGGTAAACATAATAATTACCAGGCTCTGCAAGGTACAATGAGAGGTTGGAAGGAGAAATTTATGCTAAAGCTCTCCCAAATTTCGGTTACAATCCATAAAGCTTCAGCTGTGCATGACAAGGCACCATATGTTGCTTAAAATTCCTTACAGAACATTATGCACAGCCGAACATTATGCACTGACCAAGTTCCTAGGTCAGTGTTTCTCCACCTCAACAATTTTAAGGTGTTTGCACTTCAACTCCCAGATTTTCCAAGTCAGCACAAGCACAAGGAATTCTGGGAGCTGAAGTCCACACATCTTAAAGCTGCTGAGGTTGAGAAACACTGATCTGAAGATCTTGTAAGAAACTCGGGCTTGAAGGTGACCGCACTTGGTTAATTGGTTCTGGCTGTGGAATCTAAGCAAGATCAGGCTTGTCACTTGAATGGGAATCCCAAAGGAAATAGGCAGAGAAATGGAAAAATAACATCCCGAAGGCAGGCAGCTGCAATATGACCACACCAAAGAGCAGAATTTGACTCCACAAGCAAACTTGCAAGGGTGGGGCTTGTTAGATGTAGTTGAGATGCTGGTTGTGTGATTGTTTATTCCCCCCCCTCCATTCAATCATGTCTGATTCTTAGGAAACTGCCTGGATAAGTCCCAGCAGTTTTCTTGGCAAATGGTTTGCTATTGTCTCCTTTCTAGGGTTAAGAGAAAGTAACTTCAACTTCCAGAATTCCCAAGCTAGCCATGCTAGCTAGGGAATTCTGGGAGTTGAAGTCCGCAGGCCTTAAAGTTGCCTTGTACTACACCAAGCTGCCGCTTTTATTAAAAACTATCCACAGAAAATTAATTTTAATGATTTAATCACCAGAAAACATCAGAACCAATAAACCAAAGAAATCTACTATACAATAGACATATATATAGATATACCATCTTCATTTTTTAAAATTTGTGAACACTGATTGTGGTACTTAGTAACTACACTTCATAATTTTTGAGTTTTTAAAAACTATTTTTTTAGGGGGGAAGAGGAAAATGACAGGATATCCTAAAAACCAACCAGATTTTTTTTTCCACATTATCTCCTGAATTATTTGCATTTATTTTTATCAAAGCAATAATATTCACCCTGATAAAGGTTTGCCTTTTGGAGGGGATGAGTTTAATATGTACATGTTGAAGAGGAGAAAAGCCAAAGCAATGATTTAGAATATGCTTCTTCCACCTGTTTCTGTGTTGGATTCCAGCTCCCAAAATGACTAGGCAGCAGGGCTATTTAGCCCAGCCAACTAATACAGGGGCCTTTAAACTTGGCCCTTTTGTGACTTGTGGACTTCAACTCCCAGAATTCCTCAGCCAGGAGGAAGTTCATAAGGCATAGAGGTTCATCATTCTTCAGATGGGAGGGATTGCTATTTATTTTTCGCTTCATCGCCTCCTTGTAGTTTTTCCTCCTCAGGGCCGTTCGCCAGCTTTTTCAAATATGCATGGAGCCCCTGACCTTCATAAGAAGAGGGGATTTTGTAAGAGCCCCCAATTCTGTCCCAGAGGGTAAAGTATTGGCCGTAATTGTAATTGAAGTACAAGTGGTGATCAGTGTGATGGGCAGCTCCATTGATGATGGGTTTCAGCAGATGAGGAACACGATAGTCTCCATCGTGAATGCAAATTGACCAGATGTTGACGAAGACATAGAGGCACAAATAGGTCACTTTATGAAGAGGAAAAACGAATGGATAGATATGATAAGGGATGCTCTGAAGGAAACCATCAAGGGGATGAAAAGCATGGCTGGCAAATGGAGTTGGGATCTTCCAAACGTGGTGGGGTTTGTGAAAACGCTGTGGAAGAGAGAAAAGGATCAGATCCTTAGAATGAAAAGAGAAACAGATCATAACATTTTCACTTCATTTTGCTGAGGTCTCCACCAGCTACAAAAATAGCCTACTGGTGGTCCTTATTACCACAATTAGGGCTAGACTTTCCACTGCTAAACAAGATAGTTGTTGTGTCTGATTTTACCATCATTTTTGCCACAGTTAAGCTAATCACTGCATCCCTCAGAAGGACATGCCAGTTTCCAAGCACCTGAATTTTGATTTCATAACTTGGGGATGCTGTGATAGTCCCAAGTGTGAGGAAACAGTCTTGCCTGCCAATTATTGACCTTACCTTATAAAACAGCTTGTGGTGAAGAAACCGATGAATCCAGTAAATGCACATATCGGTGAAGAACAGAAATGAAAACATGCTGAAGACCACATCAAACCATCCTAGATAAGGAGGGAAGAAAATTAGGGACTAAAAGAATTCCAGCAGATCCAACTTATGAAAACAAAGACATTTGTCAAGCCTATCGACAATGTTTGTATCTGTTATCTACTTTAGCAACATTGGGCATGTACCAAATCCAAGAACAGGACAGTAAAAGAGAAAGCCAGGGAGGAATGGAAGATTTTCAGGTGGGTGGGCATGGGCTGAAGGACATATTTCTTCTTCCCTTTCCTGATCCTATTTAACAGGAGGAAAATAAGCTAGGTCACTGTCAGAATTTATATAGCTGTCCTCCTATTCTAGGAACTATTTTGGGACAAATTTTGGCAATAAAGAGGCAACGGTAGAGATCTCCCCATACTGGAAAAAAAGGAGGTTTCCTTAAGACTGCTTCCATTTCTGGTAGATCAATGTTTCTCAAACTGGGCAACTTTAAAACATGTGAACTTCAACTTCCAGAAATCCCCAGCCAGCATAGATTTCTGGGAGTTGAAGTTCACATGTCTTAAAGTTGTCCAGTTTGAGAAACACCACTATAGATACTCTAAGACAGTGATGAGTTATGTTGGTCTACAGGAGCAAAAAAAATCAGGCATTTTCTGACTAATCTATTTGATTCAAAGGCATTAGCTTTTGTCAGATGTACTTTTCATGCTCTGACAAAGTGAGCTGCAGCTCATAAAGCTGATGCCTTTGAATATAATCTGCTAACCTGTTAATTGGAAAAGGGGCTTCCAGACTTCCTTTTCTTCCTGTGAAAAGAGAGAGTAGAGCCATGCTCCGTTCTGTGTTTTTCAGGAGTCTTAAGAAAAATCAGAGGCCTGCAAAATGTTTGAAAAGAACATGAAACTGTCAACTAAGCAGGCAACAGCTTGAATGGTATCGCTTTTCTATTCAAAGGTATTAAAAATTTGCACAAATATTGGGATGTTGCATTACCTGATCATTTAAAGGATTGCTGCCAGAGTTCCCTCACTAATTAATGATGCAAACTTCACAGGTCTGCTTCAACAATCACTTCCTTATGACCCCATTTAACAGACTAGACAGATAATTCATTGACAAATGCACATAATTAAGAAAACATATGGATGGGCGGGCTACTAACAAATTTAATAACACTGTGTTTGTGATTAAATCATAATTATAGGGGATTTTCTTCCATTTTCTACCTAGCATTTTACATTCCAAAACCTTAAATTTCTAACCCTAAATTTACCATAAAGTAGCAGACATAATTTAAAACATCTTTCCCTAAATCAATGCACTCCAGAAAGTGGCAGTTAAATTGCACCACACAAGTCCACTTCTTCTAAACCACTTTACTTTGCATAATCAGGGTCAAGATTTATTTTGGGATTGTAAAGTCTCTGACGGTATATAGAGTTGTAAGCTAGGAGATAAAAAGGTACAGAGAGGTCAGTTCTGGAGAGTGTGCCAAACAGCGGTGCTTACCATAGGCAGAATCCCCAATGTTACTGTAGAGTTTGCTGTAGCCTTTGACTTCAGCAAAGAAGATGGCCACAGTGGGAATGCTGATCAATGGCAAAGATGAGACGGTGAGCTTTATTTCTCGCTGCACTTGATTCTGAACACAAAAGCAGACAATGGGTCAAAAGGCCTTTTAAAATCACCCAGTTCTAAAGTTGGCAACTTTAAGACTTGTGGACTGCAACTCACAGCTGGCTGGGAAATACTGGGAGTTGAAGTCCACAGGTCTTAAAATTGCCAAGGCTGGAAAGAGCCTGGTATAGACCTCAGACTCCCCACCAAATATCTGAAAAAGTGCTTCCCTAAAGCTATTGGATGAATCTGCAGCAAAATTCTGCTTAATTGCTCATTATGCAACATTACCTCACAATTCTACATATCGTATGAATGCATCATCCTCTCCAATACACCAAAATGAAAAAGAAAAAAAAAGGTGGTCAAATTCCAGCTAAAAGAACTCCTCAATAAAATGAGGGTAACTAAATCAGGAAAGAAAAGATGAAATATGCCCAGCCACCAAAAGTACCATAGAGATATAGCAAGGAGAAAAAAATCACTTCTCCCATTTCATAAGGTTTTCATTCTGCTTTATAGCACTAACATTTTCATTCACAAATTTAAGAAGAGGATTAAGTACGGCACAATTCACAACATGATAGGGTTAGGGTTCTTCTAGGACCCCTTGTGAGTAATTAAATGTCATTAAAGGAAACAGCAGCTCTGCCACATTGCTATATCCCACTCACCTCTAAAAACTGAGGATGCTTCTTTAACTTGTGATCAAAAAGCAGATAGTAGCTGAGAGTGGCAAACAGAAAATATAAGGCAAATGCCCCCAGGTTTGTTATAATAGAGAGACTGATAATCTGCCGGAAAGCATTGTCTTCTGGCCAGGTTGCTGGATAAACATAAGGTGTCAAAATATAACTGTCTGCATAATCCAGGACAAGATCCATTGTGGCACCTGCAGGAGATTGCCAGGAAAGAAGAGTGTTCTCAAACATGGAAAAAACACAAAAGGTTATCTTTCAATAATCTAACATAGGGGTGGGCAATTAATTTTCCCAAGGGGCTACATGACAAACTGGCAATGGTGTGGAGAGTCAAACCAAAAGGCCTGGGACTGTGCATAGGCGCTCTCACACATATGAAAATTTAAAAAAAAAGCATTTTCAAAATAAGAGCAATGGAGTTGTACTGCGTGCATGGTGTACACTTATTTACATTTGATTTCTAATTTCTGATTGATCTCACACAGGCTGAACAGGGACAGCCAAAGGGCTGGATGTGGCCAGGGGCGAGCCATAAAATGTCCAGGTCTGGCTTAACATCTTACAAGCACTGAGTACAAACCTATTATTGTATAATAACAATACTTCATTTATTTTATTTTTTAAATAATGTTTTATAGATTTTCTAATTTTACATTTAAGTATTTAAAAAGCAACATGGCAGCTGAGTTAATCGATAATTCAATGACATATAAGTACAGTATCTTTAGTACAAGTCTCAAACTACCACATTAAATATTTCCTCTCTTTTCCCCTTAGTATTTACTGTCTCATGTTTAAACTAATACAATTCTTATTATATCAATTAAATAAAAATAACATTCTTACGTTTATCAATAATTTTAGCGTATACATATCCTGGTTATTTTAACATTCATTCTTTATAGATAATCAATGTCCTAATTAGTTTTTCCCAATTTTTAGTTTCCCATTAATGTTTAAATTTAATATTTAATATTTATAATTTCCAAGTTTTAAGTAACCAAAGTTCCCTTTATCACAATTCATCACAAAATCTAATATTCAGGATACACGTCTTATCTATTTGAATATATTCTATTTCTCACCATCTTACATCATCTAATTAATAATAAAGTATAACATTTTCTATTAATTTCCAAATGTCTTAAATTTAGTAACCAAAATTTCTCGTTTCAACATCAAATACTTCCTCTTTTTCTCTTAATGTCTACTATCTCATATTTAAGCTAGTACAGTTCTTATTATATCAGCTAAGTAAAAACATGTTTATTATATTTATCAATAGATTTTTAGCTTATATCTATCTTAATTACTTTTACATTCAACCTTTATAAACAAAACAATATTCAAATTTAACTTTTAATATTTATACTTCCAAGTTTTAAATGACCAAAGTTTTCTTTATCAGTTCATAACAAAATCTAGTATTCAAAGTACACATCTTGTCTATTTGACTATATTCTATTTTAATCCTCACTAATAAGTCAAAACCCCAATTTTCTTCAGCCTGATATCTGCCAAGGTCGCAAAAGTCTTATCTATAGTCTGGGCTTCAAGCCAAGTCTCTTTTAGACAATAACAAGTTGTAATATCAGGGTTAGCCACAATATGTCACCCATACCATTTAAGATTTTTTTTAAGTCCAAAATTTTTATAATCCTTTTTCCAATTTTACTTCTTTTTTGTAAGTAAAAACCCAAATCTTTAATAAAAATAAGAAATCTTTCAGTCTTCAAATTTTAGAAAGATAGAAACCCAGATAGAATCAGGTTATTCTTTCAGCGTTTTAAACTCCTCTGGATAGTCAGTCGCCGCTGTTTTTAGAGGGTGGGATAGAATTTCCCTTCCCTCTCTCCACAAGGGGGAAAATACTTTAGGCAGCTTGTACCGGTGGAAAAAATAGGATTGAAGAGATTCAGATCACACCCAGTCTCATCCGCTCTGCTTTATAGGTGCCTGGTGGTAAGTTTGACTTCGGCTGTCTGCAGCCTAGTGACAGGCCATATTTCTATGGCCAGTCTTTCGTCCGCCGGTTTGGAGGGCTGCTCTTGATCGAGCAGAAGGGCTACCGCCCTCCCGCGATCAAGCGAGGGTCCCCTCCTTGCTTGTCGCCCCTACAGGGTGACTTTCGACCCTTTCCAGGGTCCCCCAGTGGTGCGAAATCGGATGTGGAAGACGGAGGTTGCCTTCCAGCGTCCGCGGAGGCTGCATCGGCAAACCAGAAGTCACGTTTCATTCCTTGTTATCTACATGGCCTTGAGTAAATTACTCTTCTAATCTAACACAACCGCCCTAAAAATCCGTAAGAGAAAAGCGACTTTCCCCTCAACATCAGCACATGTAAGTCACTCCTAACCATGCCAATAGCCATCTCTGTCAAATCAATGGAAAATCACTCTAAACTACTGTTCTATAAAAACTTCTCAATCATGGAAAGGGAGGAAAAAATGAGAGGGAGAGAGAAACAAACTGGGCAATGTAGTTTCTCAACTCTTACGGATTTTTAGGGCAGTTGTGTCACAGGAGAGAGGGAAACCTCTTAATCTGCTGGAGCACCTTAAACAGTAATTAATTTATGATGGCATGCATGTCTTCTTTAATCAAGACATTGACAAAACATCCAAGTGTGAGAATGGACAAAGGTTTTGTTTTTTTTTTAAAGTGAGGTTCTAAGTCGGGAGTCTCCCTACTCTTCATCTCATCAATCTTTTCAGGAAGTTTCTGGTTATTCACCAATCCCCCAAATGTGTATTACATGAAAGCAATTTATTAAATACTGTTTTAATACTCTGCCCCACATCCACTGTGATGACCCAGGGCACGGCACAGAGGCAATGCAGTCAGCTGGCAATTCAAACTGCCCTTTAATTGCTCCAAATTTTCCCCAAACTCTCCCACGTTTCTGGCAAGCCCCAGAACAAAGTAAGAGACACACACCTTCAGTAGCCTCTGACTGCAAGTAGTTTCACATACAATTAGTTTAGAAGAGTAGTTTACTCAAGGCCACGTAGATAACAAGGAATGAAACATGACTTCTGGTTTGCCGCAGCCACTGGAAGGCAAGCTCCATCTTCCACGTTCGATTTCGCACCACTGGGGGACCCTGGAAAGGGTCGAAAGTCACCCTGTAGGGGTGACAAGCAAGGAGGGGACCCCTGCTTGATTGCGGGAGGGCGGTAGCCCTTCTGTTCAATCCGGGGCAGCCCTCCAAACCAGTGGATGAAAGACCAGCCATAGAAATATAGCTCGTCACTAGGCTTGCAGACAGCCGAAGTCAAACTTACCACCAGGCATCTATAAAGCAGCGCAGATGAGACTGGGTGAGATCTACCTCTTAAATCCTAACTATCTTTTTTACCTGCATAAGCTGCTTAAAGTACTTTCCGCCCTGTGGAGAGGGAAGGGAGAGTTTATTCCTCCCTCTAAAAACAGCGGCGACTGACTATCCAGGGGAGTTTAAAACGTTGCAAGAATAACTTGATCCTAATTGGAATTTTATTTTTTAAAGTTGTGGACTAAAAGATTTTATATTCCTACTGAAGATCTGGGTTTTTACTTATAAAAAAGAAGTAAAACTGAAAAGATTATAAAAACTTTGGACCTAAAAGAAAAATTTAAATGGTAGGGGCAACATCTTGTTGCTAAACCTGATATTATAACTTGTTATTGCTTAAAAGAGACTTGGCCAGTAATCCAGATAAATAGATAAGACTTATGTAACCTTGAGACATCAGCTGAGAGAAACCCAACTGATGAAATAAGAGGTTACAGAAAAGAACAAGATGTCAGCCTAGATATACGAACTCAAACTTTGATTACAACTAAAAAATCAACTACACAGAATGTAATAGAAGAAGTGGAACAATTAAATATTATTTATTTATTTATTTATTTATTTATATTTGGATTTATATCCCGCCCTTCTCCCGTAGGACTCAGGGCGGCTGACAATCTATTTAAAATACATACAAAACAGTACAAATTTAAAATTAATTAAAAAGAATATTTAAATATTTGTCGAATTTAAAATATAATTAAAACCCCCCTAAAAATTACCCTAGGCCAGTCCTGCAAGCTGGAATAACCAAGTCTTGAGGGCGCGGCGAAAGGGAGATCAGGGATAACCCTGATCTCTGGGGGCAGTTCATTCCAGAGGGTGGGAGCTCCCACAGAGAAGGCCCTCCCCCTTGGGGTCGCCAGCCGGCACTGTCTGGCTGACGGCACCCTGAGGAGACCCACTCTATGGGAGCGTACCGGTCGATGGGAGGTACTCTGCGGCAGGAGGCGGTCTCGAAGATATCCGGATCCGATGCCATGGAGCGCTTTAAAGATGATAGTCAACACCTTAAAGCGCACCCGGAAGGCCACAGGCAGCCAATGCAGCTCGCGCAGCAGCGGTGTCACGCGGGAGCGCCGAGTCCCCCCCAACACCGCCCGCGCGGCCGCATTTTGGACCAGCTGGAGCCTCCGGGTGCTCCTCAAGGGGAGCCCCATGTAGAGAGCA